GTTGTTGTAAAGATGGTTTCACTTGGTTTTTCTTATTTTTTTTGGCTGGTTTCTCTTTTTTTCAAAAAATTACCAAAAAAGGAAATTTTCTGAAAATTTGGGGATCAGTGGAAAGAGTTTTTACCTATTATATTATTAATTTACAGATTATAAAATATAATTAATCATATATATTGACATATAATTTATATTATTTTTAAATAAAATCATTTTTATTAAGTATAAAGATTTTAATTAAATTAAACTTGAATTAAATTATATAAATAATAACTTTTTATACTTTTTACTTTTTAATAATTTATAAAATTTTAAATTATATGAAAAAATATTAATTTTAATTATTCTAAAATATAATTTTCAATATTAAATAAATAATTTTTCTTAAATAAAGTATTAAATATTCTTTTATCTTCAAAATAAATATTTATAAAAAATTTTTACAATATAAAGAGTTGTTTTTTTATTTTATTACAATATATTATTTTTTAATATTTTTATTTTTATAAATTTTTAATAAATTTAATTTATTTTAATTTAATTTTAAAATATTAAATAATATAATTTTAATAAAAGCAATTAATCAATATAAAATATATTTAGTTTTTAAAATATAAACAAGTTTTTAATAATTATAATTATTATATTTGAAAATAATAATAATAATAATGTATATAAAAAATACTTTTTTTAATTAAACAAGTTTTAAAAAAATAATTATAATATTAAAGTATAAAAAGTTATATAATAATAGTAAAATTTATTTTTTATTAAGTATCTTAAATAATAAAAAATTTTTTTATTTTTTCAAAAAAAAATTAAATTTTCAAGCTTTATTCAATTAGATAATGTTTTTAAAAAGACTTTTTTTATTTTTATTAAATAAACTTTTTTAATATAATATTAATATAAAAAATATAATAAATAAATTTATATATTAATTAGTTTTTTTTTTTAATTTCTTAAAAAATTTTTATTATTTAAAAATAAATAAATTCTTTAAATAGTTTTGAAATTAAAGAATATTATAATTAAATAAAATTTTTTAAGAAAAAATTATTAATTTAATTATAAATTTTTTGAAAAATATTTAGATTATTATTATTATTATTTTTTTAATATATTAATTTATCTATTTATTATTTTTAAAATAATTCATAATAATAAACTAGTAATAATAATTTTAATAAATAAAAGATTTATATTAATCGATCAAAAAAATAAAATATTGTTTTTTAAATTTGACTTAAAGTATTTAAATTAAATTTTATTTTATTTGTTCAAATTAATTGAATAAATTCTTTATATTTTTCATTTATTTTTTTATATATCTGCAGTTAGATTAGATTGTAGTTTATTAATCAACTAAAAATATAAGTATATTTTTATTCAAGTAGTATGATACATACTATAGCTAAATATCAATTTCAAATCTAACTAACTTACTGTAAGCATTAATAACTTCTAAATTTGATCTTGAGAATAATATTTCACTTTATAGCAGACTTTAGATAAAAACTTTCTTAGTTTATTACTTCAATGCCAACAGTTTATCACTGTTAAAAGTCCTACTAAACTATTGGAATACAGAAAATTATAAAATAATAGATTAATAAAAGAGAAAAGTGAATATCTAAAAATGTTCAAATAATTTATAAGAAAATGAAAATGAGAAAATAAAATAAAATTTATCAACTTCTTTCAAAAATCTGATTTTTAAGACTTTTTCTCAATAAGAAATATCCTATTAAAATACACTTTCTTTTTTTAACCATTTGAGAACCTTATCCATTCTCGATCTTAATTTTTTTAATATGTACTATTTGAGAAGACTTATTGTCTAGTGGGAGCTTTTATTTCTAGGACATACTTGATTCCAACCTTCTTTGAGTAGTGATTTTTTATCCATCTATGTTAAACAGGCAACTTATAATAAATCTCTCAGATTCTTATGTGATCCAGTAAAAACTGAGCTATATTATTTCAATATGATATTATTTAGTAACTATACCTAGTTAAAGAAATTTTACTGATAAATATCTTCCATTACTCAAAAGACCAGATTTTTCAATGATTTTTTTGCCTTATAATAGTAAGAGAATTTTGAAAAATAATAAGGATTCTTGTCAATTATAATATCCTTTAACAACTTCTAAGGAAATATATTCTCAATTATAATTAAAAAATTAAAGCTTAGTATAAACTAGAAATCGTTTGATTTTATTGCTTGACTAAAATAAAAAAAAGACCTTGGTCTTGAACTTTATCTAACTAGAATAATAAAAGAGAAAGATCTCAGCTTGAAAAATAGTAACTTTTTTATTACCTGTGAACTTGTTACTTATATCTTATTGATGTTATAGAACTTGATCTACTATATAAGTTAATTCAATTGAAGAAATGAAGTAGTAATAGGATATCAATCAATTTTTTTATCATCAATGATATTATCAAAACATGTGAGGTAATCAGTAAGGATTTATTTATATTTAGTTACTAATAATTTCATTTATATCAATCATATTTTATAATAGATTGTGTTATCTAAAATTTAAAATCCAACTGAAATAGACAAAATTTCTCAGAAAATCAAAAAAATTTTTGATCAACTATAAGAGAGAAGAAACAATAGATAGATACTTTGAAAATAGAGTTTAATGTTCATTATCTCCCATTGTACAAAATCTCTATAAATATACTTCAATATAAAAAACTTTAAGTACTATACTATTAGTTCTTTTTTTTTATAGAACTTTCTTGATATAAGTAAAAAAGGTGTTTCTTGATTTTTCTAGACTACAAGAAGTCAAGTTTTTGTTTGAAGATAAATATAACCAAGAAAAGAGATTTAGGAATATTTCTTGAAGTAAAACTTCAAGTTGATTTAGAGATAGTGTTAAGATTTTATTAGCAAAAAAATAAAAAAATTTTTGCAAAAAACTTTTTTATGTATAGACAGAAGATCAGTGAAAAGAGTTATAACTCTTTATATTTTTCAAATATTATAGTTTTATAATTAAAAATATATAGTAACAAGTTAACTATTATATAAAAGTTTATTCGATGTTATTAATATTTTCAATAAAAATAGCTATAATAATATAATTATAGATTTTAAAAAAGTTTTTTTATAATAAAATTTTATATTAATATTATTCAAAGATATTATTTAAAGATTATTAAAATAAATTATCAAATAAATGATCAATATTTTAGATTATAAATTTATAAAAATTCTATAGGGTATCAAATTTTAATGAATTGATACATAATTAATTTTATTATGATAAATTAAAATCCATAAATTACTATTGTAATGAAAAAAAAAAAAAAAAAAAAAACGTCCAATCTGAAATGGAAATGCATTTCGTAATTTGTATTCCTAATGCATGTTAATGCATGCTAATGCTGCACAGATCTCATCTAAGAAAAAGTTCCAACTCTTCTTTCGACAAGATCGTCGTTAATCCATGGTTTCACAAAATTCGAGATATGGTTCATTGTCCAAGTCGTGTCTCTTTTGAAAGAACCACAGACAAAATCTTTGCATAACGTATTGTAAAGACCGTGCATCAATTCTTTCATGCGCATGCAAGACAACAATTTGCGTCATTTCTAATACAATTCAATTACACGAATTCACTGTTACATTACCTCAAGATCGAAAAATAAGTCGATATGTTCCGATGACCAGGGAATTTCTGGCACAATCATGCAAATAGCCCATTTCGGGAAAATATTTTCATAATAATGATTGCATAAAAATTTTTTATCCTCGATCAGAAATGAATAGTCTTTTATACGATCTTCGTCGTTTTTTAATGCAAGTTCGATCAAACATAGTCGGAAATATGTGTATAATTTTTTGATAGTTCAGAGGTTAAATTACGATATGTGAAATTCAAAATCTTTGTAATGAAAAACTCAAATCTTTAATAAAATCTTTGACATTTTGTGATGAGTAATACTCGTTCTTGTTCCTTTCCCCCAAAACCCTATTTCCATAATTCCTTCGAAAAGTATGCAGTCATCAAACTTCCCTTATAACCGTCGCATCACTCGAAACACTACTACACCTATGTCGTCAGAATGTTTAAAAGAAATATTTTCACATTTAAAAGGCGAAACCAACACACTCTTTAAATGTTTGCTGGTAGATCGAACCTGGTTTGAAAACTCTTCCGCTATTCTTTGGGAGTCTCCTTTTTGTCACTTAAGCAGACCTTCAAGAAAGCTGATTGAAACTTTCATATCTTTTCTTGATGACCGCTCAAGAATAATTCTAGTCGACAATAGTATTTCCCTCACTCCTTCTTCGCAAAGAAAGCCTTCCTACACCTTTGTATATTCCTCTTATATGCGTAATCTTTGCTACAAACATTTATATGAATCTTCTTGTTCTTATATTTTCGGTGAAGTGGAAAAAAAAAGAAGAAAAACTTGGACCGAGGAACAACGTTGTTTGTTACTGGTCGAAGAATTGTGCAAATTTATCATTAGGAATTGCCCTTACATCGATACCTTGCACTTTGACACGGCCGAGATTAATTTCTATGGTACTGATATTTACATGAAACTTCCAATGATGCCTACAGCAAAAAATTTATTCGAACGTCTGAGAAAATTAACTTGTGGCGGAAAATACGAGAAAGGTGAATTGATGCATGCTATTTCGATGCATTGCAAAAAACTTGAAACTCTTGAACTTAATTTCTATGAGTTTGATATGTTTGATTCGGGCAATTCCGAGTCTAAACAGATGTCCAGCCTAATTTGTTCTCAGAGTGCATTACGTAATTTAATTATCCGCGGCGGACCTTTCAAATTTCTTTCGAATCTAATGAATCCCCTAAAGACGCAGGCAAAGTCGTTGAGTTATGCCGAATTCGATCGGGTTTATTTTAAAGACTCCGGACCTTTGGAGGTATTTGTTGGTTGTTTGAATTTAGAGACGCTTATTTTCCAGGACTGTAGCAATTTAAACGATAGAACATTTTCACCTTTAGCTTTCTCCAAATTTACGAAATTGAAAAAATTTATATTTAATAATAGTTATCACAAACATTTTGATAGTTTGGCTCAGATGATTAAAAATACTCAAGGTTCTTTACAAGAAATTAGATTTAGAACACGTGGTATTAGAAATATGGTTGTCTCGAATGTCCCCGACATCCCTTTAAGTGTCATTGAAGTAATAGCAATGACATGCCCGAATCTTCACACATTTGAAGGTCACTTAGAAAAGCGATCCATGCTCTACTTCCAAATGATATTTAATTCATGCGCACTCGAAGATCTCCATGTTTCTACTGAACCCGGAGGCAAAGAGTTCTTTAGATCTCGGATTCCTTTTCTTTTACCTAAATCTCTACGATACTTGACCATCTCGATAATGGGTAAATTCTCTCCGGAAGATTTCGATCGATTTTTAAAATCATGTTCTGCACCCTTGATAAACCTCCGAATACCGATATCTCCTTTCATAGATGACAAGTGTCTGGGGGTCATTGTGAAATTTGCGAGAAGATGTAGAACCTTGAAACGCGTAACTTTATCACGGATTTCTCTGGTCACGGAGGATGGGATAAAAAAAGCGCGAAAAGTTATTCCCATTGTTGAAAAAGAAGAACGTAGTTTTTTATGTAATCAACACGAGTGGAAGCGTGATGGAATATCATCGTATTAATTATTTATACTTATTATTTATGTCTATATGGAATTTTCAAGTTCAGACTAATATAAGAACACTTTGAAGATTATAAAGGAACGGAAACAAAAACGTTTAGCAAACATTTTAATTCACGACCCCACGAAGGATGAGCTCATAAGAAATCATAAAAGGACGTCCGCCCAGATCATTCATATGCACGTGTAAGTTGATTATGTGAATACCCTTAGCAAATAGAAAAATTCAATAATCAAAAACTATTTATAAGATTATATTGATTATTTATCTATGGACCGCACGAAACTTTAGCTTTAGCATTTGACAATCAATCTTAAAAACTTGGGGAGTTACTTTTGGTGCCGACTGCACTTGGTTTAATTGCGCAAGACCAAAGTTTTTTAATTTTTGAAAAATGTGTTTTTTTTTTTTTTTTTTGCCACTTAAAATAAATATTTTTTAAAAAAACCAATACTTAGACCTAGACTTACTTTGTATAATAGAAATTCAAATGTTTGGTAAATAAAAATAGAATTATATAATGAGTAAATGAGTATGTTTTGTATAAACTAGTCTTGATTTTTTTTTTTTTATTAACCGTAAAAATTATTTATCAAATAATATTAGATTTTTATAGAAATAAAAAAAAATTTTTTTTTATTATAAATATTTTTTATCTTACATTTGAAATAATATTAGTATTAATTAACAATTTTAAATTTTTATTGATAAATTTTTAATAATATAAAATATATTTATTTAATTTTTAAAAAATTATTATTGGATTCTTGATCTAAACTATTTTTAAATTTAATTTAATGATAATTTATTGATTCAAACTTTTTTTTTGATTCTTAAAATTATTGTTAAAAAGTATTTAAATTAATTATAATATTAATTTTTAAAGTAAAAATTTTAATTGCTATATATTAAAAAAAATTTTTTCATCAAATTATTTTTTTATTTTTGATCTTAAAAAATTTTTTTTCTTATATTATTTCAAAAATTAATAATAATTTTTTTAAAAAAATCAAAAACATATTAAAAATATATTCTTTATAAATTATTAAATTTCAAAAATAAATTTTTTATTTATTATAAGTTTTAAACTTTAAAAAATTTTTTTTTATAGCTTAATAAATTTCAAAATAAAAAAAAAATTTTTTTATTTATAAATTTTTAAACTTTAAAAAAATTTTTTATAAATTATTTTTTCAATATATTTTTTTTTATTTTAAATAAATAAATAATAAAAGTAATAATTTTTTTTTTAGATTTAATTATAATAAAAATTAATAATAAAAATAAAGTACAATTAAAATACAAAAACAAAAAAAAATTATGAATTTAAAATTTAATTAATAGAATTTAATAGTTTTTAAGAGAATATTACTAATCCAAAATTTTTAAAAAGTATTTATAAAATTAAGCTATATAAAAATAAAAATATTAACTTTTTAACTATAATAAATTAAAATAATTATTTATAAAAATTATAAAAAAATATTTTTAATTCAATTATATAATTTTATTAATAATTATTATTTTGAATTATATTATAAATTTTAAAATTTAACTTTTAAATTATATTATAAATTTTGAAAAACTATAAGTAATAAAAAAAACTCTTTCCACTGATCCATTTTTTCTTTAAAAATTTCTTTTTTTAGTAATTTTCTTGGAAAAGAGAAGCTAGTCTAAAAAATACCTTATTTCTCAAATATTTAAAACTTAATAATAAACTAGAATATTCAACCATTCCCTAAGAGATCACTATATCAATTAAAAGAAATTTTGATAGTATAATATTACATTAGATTTACTTTACAAGAAAAGGAAAACATATTTACAAATTGATTCATAGTAAGCTTAGAAGAGTTCAATATTAACTTCCTAAGCTTCCAGCCAGGCCAGTATCAGTTTATACCTTTCTAAGTACTATAAAGAACTTTACAAATAATAGTTCCTATTGATAAATCAGGAAAAACTCAAAATTTACAAAGTCCAAAAGGATATCAAAGGCTCTTAAGGACTAAGCAGTAGAGTATTTTGATTCCATATACATCTGTATAAATATCAAAACATGTTACATAAATGTATACACATTAAGCAATTTAGCATCAAAACAACATAGCAAGGTTTATCAAGTATTTACATATAAACAACTTATTTTTTATAATAAAGAAAATCAATATCAAATCCGGTAAATAAATAGAACTAAACAGAAAGGATTAATAACACATCTGAGTAAACAAAACACTAAACAAGACAACAAACAATTAATTCTACATATCTTGCTAAATATAAAAAAATGAACAAATTAAGAATAAACAAACTAACAAATCAACATTTTATCCTTTTTTATACATGACTAATATGACAAAGGAATAGAAAATTATGCAAATTGCTAAGAAAAGAGAGCTATACATCCTCGATAAAATAGTCAGAATAGCTAAAAAACATGATTTAAGAAAAGAAACATGGGATATCCAAATCATCTTTAATACTCTTACTATACAAAACAAATTCAATAAGACATCAGAATCAACAAAATACTCAATACTCGATAGTATTCTTGCAAAAATTTTAAATATAGACCCAACTATATTTATTAAAGTAGAGGTCCTTAAAACATATATGCTATACTTATAGATGCAAGGTTAAGGAAAAGAAGAAGATTTTATGGTACCCTTCTTGGAAAAAAAAGTTAGACGTATCTTGGAGCAAGATACTTTCACAAATAGTCTTCCCCTCTATACTTCAGAAAGTTTTCAGACTAAGGATGAGTTTATAAACTACATAGTAAAAAATTCAACTTCAGATGAGAACACCACTCCAAATCAAGATATGGAAGTTCAACCAACAATCAAGATTGAAATTTTAAATAATATTGAAGTTAAAATAAGTAATAAAGATATGGAGGAAAAGTTAGAGAAAAAACTTGAAACGGTAAATATTTAGAAAAAAGTTGAAGGGGAAAATATAATGGAACAAATCTCTTACAATACACAAAACAGATCCAAGCCATCCAGTTTAAATCTATTTTATATCACCAAGAAAGAAGAATTTAAGGTTGGAATCCTTATTTCTAAAATATTAGAAGATATAGAAAAAGAATGTTTAGTATATCTCCAAGGTGCCTTGAGTCCATCTAAAGAAATGCTTCTATTCAAAAAAGATTTCTTCATGGTAATACCTGGACAACTTTCACCTTTGAGGAAATGGAAGATATATTACAATATATAGAAAAGATTAATAAGAAATAAGAAGAAAACTTTATCTTAATACCTATATAGGTAGAGAAATGGGAAACTTTATATTCATCACCAGAAAAGAAATTCTTTAAACAAGAGGTAGTAGAAGAAGAAAACACGACAGTGGTTATCACATTAATAGATCTTGATCATAATTATACCTGTCAAGAAATCAAGGCTACTTTATAAAAATATGGAAAGGTTTTGAGTATTCATATTTATAATTACTCTCACTCTCAAAGAAGAATTAAAGCATAACTCATCCCAAACTAGCAGGACTTAAAGGATAGATGATTTATTCATATCAAAGTAAATACCTTCAGAGCAATTTTCACTCAATATAAATCAAACAACCATGAAGTCAATTCCATTCTCAAAAACCATAACAGCCAATTCTTACAACTATATAGTATACATAATACCTTCACAAGTCTTATAACAAGGCAACACAACATGCAGGGACCAAAGCATATTACACACCAAAAAACCCTTTCACTTTGAAAAGAAGAGGATATGCAGTAGTCCGTTTCACAGTAGCAAAAGATTTGCACAAGGTACTGAGATGACATATATCTATACATAGTCACAAACTCAGCTGGAGTGCTAAAGAACACTTCAGGAAGAACACAGAGCATGACAAAAAAGTGACCAAAACAAAGAGTGGTAATAATAATAAAGAGAAAGTTCATCCTGAAACAATACATATTAAACTGCACTCAAGACAACTGGGCCAAACTGAAATCAGAAGCAACAACAGAATAACTGGCCTACAATATCTGAGAATAATTCAGAAACTGAAAGCAACTCTAAGAAAAAGATAGATCTGGAAAAAAAGGCAAAAAGAAAAAGACACAACTTCTAAAACAGTAAATACATGGCTGGAATATTAAACACTTTTAGACACTTTGCTACTGGTAGTACATAGAGCCAATCAATTATTATAACAGAAGAAGAAATTTATATAATAGGTTGCAAAGTTCTTATCCAAAAAGTGAAAATGATTAAGATCTTCTATACCAGATCCTGAATAATCTCAAGTGATTAAATACTAGAATAAACTTAATTGAAGAGAAAATAGGTAATCAAAACAGGATAAGAGAAAGGCAATGGAATAATCATCCCTAAAAAGCACCAGTTCAATCAAGGTACACCAGGAGAGAGTTAGACTTACAAGAAAAATCAAGCTCATCCTGAAAGAAAGGAGCAATCATAGAAACAATAACAAAAACTAATACAATCCTTCATAGCACAATAAACACCACACCATTTGATAAGTTTATTAGTACAATTAAAAAAATACCATTAATAAACTAAACAAAGAACAAATACTGTATAAGAACTATACCATCGACAACTCCACATTAGATAATACTATTACTATTAGAACATATAATGTTAGAGGCATTAACACTAGTCTTTAGCAACAAAGACTATTTAGACTTATATAAGATCTCAATATAGACATCCTAGGGATTTATGAAACTAAACTAATAGAAAAAACAGTGGACTTCGCTATTAACATACAGTAAATGTATAAATTCTTTTACAACTATAATAGTGAAAAACCCAGAGAG